CTTACTATAAGGGGGCTCCAGCCGTTTTTCAAGTATTGATTGGGGGCGCCATTGGTGCCACTGACCTAACAAAAATCCCAACAACTTTTTCCACGGTCCTCATCAGTTCGGAGGCCGCTAGAAACTGCAGATCCTTCTCACATCTTATCATCGAAATTGGGTTTTAATCGTTTACATATATATTTTTTATTTAAAAAAGCTATTGTAATTAAATTAAATTTAATTCAAATTAATTATAATTTGGATGTTGGTCTGACCAGGACTCGAACTTTGACCTTCCAAGGGCACTACTACTAACTAATTACCCGAGTATTGCGGGCACCCATCATAGATACGGGTATATGCTATATATAAATATGTAAATAAATATATATGCACAAACATACATATTTATGCAATAAGTTAGCATTTTGTGTTAATGCGTCGCCACCACCAACTAACTCAGCTCTGGCTAACTTGTTGACGAGCGACGACACGAATTTTCCTCCGGCCTTCAAAAACTGTTGGCAGAAGTTGTTGCTGTTTTTGTTGCACCAAATTGTTAGAGTTTTACGTGCTCATGCCCGCCAGCAGCATTACATGACTTTGGTTGTACACGCATTTTTTGCGCCTGTTTGTACGTTTGTGTGTGTATATATATGTGTGTGTGTATGTATGTGTGTGTGTGTATATATGTGTGTGTGTAATTGCAGTGTATTTAGTTTAGAATTTTGTTGCTCACAGTCGTTCTGCATAACTCTTGCAAATCCGCGAGCCGCTCGACAAGCTGACTACCTCTTTACACGCACACTACTGTACAAGTGTGTGTGTGATGTGCGCTATGAGCGCTCGTTATCGTTTAGTCGAAGCGTTGACAACTCTGGCGTGGCATTGCAATTGAAATCAAAAATTTCTAAGTATGTGTTTCAGCATCAAAAATTTAATGAAAATACTGTCGGTCAGAATTTTTTTATATTAATTTTTTTTTAAATTTTAAAGATAAATTTTTAAACAAAATAAGGGCTGCCTTCGATCATTTATGGCATTTCGTTTTAGGATTAAATATTAAATTAACCAAAAAAAAATTTATTAGATGACAATATTTATGCGAAATTATTAATGTTTAATATCGATTTTCATGTTTTAGGAAGTTTTTTAGACTTTTGTCCAAATCCTATTTTATGAAAATATCGATGTATATGTGATATATGTAAATCATAGTCGCCCGATTTCGATCATTTTCGCCACCAAAGTGTACTCCATGAGTTGAATTACAAAATTTCACGCTCTTAAATGCTTTTTTTGTCAAATTTATTATTCAAAATCTCAAAACTGAAAAAATTAATTGATCCTAAATATGCTACAGAGATCCAATCTGAACATTCAAACAGATAGACGGGCAAGGCTAAATCAACTGTTCCCACTGTTCTACCTACTTTGAACTAAAATTAATACACCATTACATAGTCATTAGAAACTTTCCGGTGCCAATATCGAAGAATTGGATGGTAGAAACTATTAACGTATTTTTTCGAATGTCTTTTTTTTTTTTTTTTTTAATTTTTTTTTTTATATTCAATAAATTTTCGGAACTCAAGCCCATTAGAACGATTACCAACAATATTTGATAGTCTAAATCAGAATATTTATATCGGCTGGCAATATCAGTTTTAGTTTCCAAATTCTTAGGACCGCATCAAGAGCATTTGTTTTGAAGAACTCCACCGTAAGCGACTGACTTATCCAAACTTAATCTGGCTGTTTCCTAAGCTGTCAATAATGGAAAGCAGAAAAGGAATATTTTTCGAGTCCAAATTAATGGTCAACAAACAATACTTTCCAAAATGTTTAACACATAGTAGGTATCATCTTTTCAAGCCGCATTATTTTTCAACACTTTCGTGGTAACCACAAATCTCCGATTTTAGACAATTCAAGTAGTTGCCAACTTCAATATACTCCTCTCGTAGAAGACTGCGAGCCTATTGGCAAAAAACTCGGTAAGCCAATTTTCACAGGCCTCTCTTGAGGCCAACTTTTCACCATTAAGCGCGTTGGCCATGGACAGGAAAAGATGGTAACCACTTGGTGCCAGGTCCGGATTATAAGGTGGGTGCATTAGGACCTCCCACCGAGCTCCTGGAGCTTCTGGCGTGTCACCAAAGACGTGTGTGGCCCGGCATTGTCCTGATGGAACACAATTTGGCCACTGTTGATCAAAGATGCCCTCTTATAAATGAGTGCTGCCTTCAAGCGATCCATTTGTTGGCAGTAGAGGGTCGAATTGATTGTTTGGCCATAGGGGAGCAGTACGTAGTAGACGATTCCTTGCCAATCCCACCAAAGACACAGCAAACGCTAGAGCATCTTTGACATCGAAATTACCGGAATGGTACTTAGCAAACCACTTTTGTGCTACGTGTTCGTTTAAAGTATCGGACCCATAAACTAAATTAATTTTATCAGCCGCTTCGGCTGCTTTTTCGCCTTGATCGAAGAAAAATTGTAAAATATAGCGAATTTTCTCTTTGTTGGTGTCCATCTTTGACGAGCGCTCACAACGTACTGAGTCAATCAATCGAAAAACTATCAAAGACAAACTTATAGCGTGAATAAATACGTTTTCAACACCGTCTAGTATGATATGATACGACACGTAACACTAGTACTATGGACAATAATGCCATCTCTTATATAAAAACCGAACGAACTTCTTACTTGACCAATATATAAATATAGTGCGGAAATTATACGTTAATTTTTAGAAACAAGAACTTGAGGTAAGGATTGAAGAAGCCGCTGTGCGCCTTAATGCTAAGGGAAATTTAAGAGAATTTACTAGTTTAGAACAGCTGATTTACGTTGCACTAATAGCTCCAACCTTTGTATTGTTATGGCTTCAGTTTTTTGAGATGCAAGGGAAATTTCGTTGATTGATTTCTTGCAGAACGGTAAAACAATCAACTTGTAATATTTCAGCCTGGTGGTTACTTACTTCTTACTTATTTTACTGACGTAGGCACCGCTTACGCGATTATAGCCGATATACAACAGTGCGCCAGGCGTTTTGGTTGCTATTTGGCGCCAATTGGAAACACCAAGTACAAACAGGTCCTTCTCAACCTGATCCTTCCAACGGAGTGGATTTCTTTCTCTTCCTCTGCTTCCACAGGCATTGAAAACTCTCAAAGCTGGAGTATTCGCATCCATACGGATCACATGACCTAGCCAGCGTAGCCGCTGCTTTAGTTAGCTGGACAAATTTGTGAAAATAGACGTAGTTTGCATCACAAAAAGAAATTATTTTTCATCAAGAGAGTGCACCCACTCTCAAAGGTGTGCCCAGCGACTATTATCCCTTCAGAAACCTGAAACAACTACTTCGTGGAATAAGTGCATAAAAGTTAAGGGAGTTTATATAGAACAAAAAAATAAATTTCTATCATTCCCAACGTATGTATATCATTACTCTTTACATTCATTCGCCTCGCCCAATCGCAGTTTTCGTAACGCGCTTCAAGTTCAGCGCTCAAAGATCGTTACTCAAAATTTTCAACCCATTGTCTCCTACATATGTACACGGTGTGTCCCAAAATTAACGGAACTTTTTGGATATAAAATAAAATACACATTATATTATTTTTGAAAATTATTATTTATTCAAAATAGGTTCCATTTGACTCAACACAACGTTTGAAACGATCAACCAGCGCATGCATAGATTTTTTTATGTCATTTATAGAAAGGTTCTTCAGTGCCTCAGTTACGGCTGCTTGTATGGCTGGGATATCATCATCAAATGCTCCCTTCATCTTGGTTTTCAGTTTTGGAAGTAAAAAATAGTCACTTGGTGATATAGATCAGGCGAATACGGAGGATGGTCGCTGAGAGAAATTCCTTTTTTGATTGAAAATTCGAGCAATTTTTTGGTCGTCATTTAGATCATGTGGAACAAATCGCCCACGGACATTTCTTTTTCCCAAATCTTCAGTTGAAATTCTCCAAACAGTGTTTTTACTCGTATTCAATTCCTCACCCAACATTCTCGTAGTAAAATTTGCATCGATACCAATGATTTCACGGACTTTTTCCACCAGTTTAGCACGATTACTGGTTTCTGGACGTCCTACTCTGGGGTCGTCACTTTTACATCTGTCATCCGACTCACATGATCTTTTCTATCTTTTTAATGTTGCAAATTTTCAATAGATGCCGCTGTATGTTGTATTATTTAAATATAAAGTTCGGTTATTTTTACGACACACCGTGTATGTACCTTCTTGACTCTCCTTGCAATATAAATAATTTTTTATTTATTTATTTTTTTTTTTTGTTTTGCATTAATTTAACTGACGGTAATTTAATAACTTTGTGATGTAATTTTGTATCATGACGTACATAAATTTTCAAGCGTCTACTTTGGATTGTCTTTGATTTCTGAAATGCTCTGGTATTTAGAGGCGGAAATGAAACAATCTGAATATTAATAGATGAAATTTATCTCTTCCCATTCACTGCTCTTTAGCTAATGAATTCTTTCGCTCTCAATCTGATTTATTTGCAGTTTGGAACTCAACTCCGGTTTGCCAAAAACTTAATACGCTACAACAACAAGAACAAAAGAGTATCAAATGCTTTTGATGTTGCAATGAGTACGACAAAAGTGTGTAATAAAATAAAGCGACAAAGAGGAAAGGACCAAATTTAAAAAAAAAAAGTTCAAAAAAATAACAGATAATAAATAAAGAAAAACAGAAAGACAGAAATGAGCCAAGGAACCCAGTAAAATAACGCAAACAAGGAGCTCAATAGTGTCGATTGCTTGACACAATAAAAAAAGAGCAGAGTATTGAAAACAATAACAACAAAATCGAAACAAATAAGTTGCGAGAGCGCATGCAGCAGAAGAGACTCTCGATCCCTAAAGGAAATAAACAATTTACGCAAACGATAAAAGTTAATAAAACACTTAAGCGGATTGTGCGACAGCAACAACAAAACGACAACAACAATAATCACAAGAGAAATAGCAACAACAACAGCAATAGCAACAGCAATAGCAACAGCAACAACAACAAAAGCAAAGTAGTGGAAATAAAGTAAAAACTAAGATAAACGACACTGTGGCAACAAGGAATTGTGTGGCAGCAACAAGAAAGCGAATGAAAATTAAAGAGTCCAAAGGGAAGGCAAGCAGGCAGACAGACAGCAAAACAAAAAGAGTAAACAGAGAGGAATAAGGTGGGGCGAGAGAGAAAATATATTACCAACGCAGCGAAAGCAAAGCATAATCAATCAATAGCCAGCAACAAGAAGAAGGCGAGAAGAGCGACAGAAAAGTAAAAAAGCAAAGCACTCGCTGGACATAAATAACTGACGAAACTGAGAGAGCGGCAAGGCAAGAGGGAGAAGAAGAGTACCATAAAAATAGTGAACGAAAACAACACGCTCGGGTGCTAAAACCCTCACAACACAACCCACAACTCACGCTATCTCCCTCTCTCTTTCTCTCCCTCTCTCTCCCTGGACAGCGCCCAACACACAGGACGTTAATGTAAATTACATACAATAATCTATAGGGAGATGACCAAAAAAAGATGCTCGTTCAGAGCGACAACAACACAACTACCAACTAGTGGCGTTACACGCCATGTAAGTGTGGCTGGAGCTTTGACTACGAAAGGAGAAGAAAATTGCAGTGCTGGAATTAAGCTGGCGACAACTGATACTGCAATCACTGCAGGCTACAGCATGTGGATATACGCCAACGACATGATGCCAATTAAAAATGCGCGTAAATGTTGCAAATACAGCACCAACAACAATAGCGCCACTCCACACACACCCAACGCGGGAGCACACAGCGAGGCAAGCGCGTACATGTTAAGCCGCTGCGACAACGATCAATGCCGAAGTGTAAACGATAACGGTAAATCCGATTACTATGCGTATTGTGCACACGGCGCATTACCGTTAAGTAGTGAAAATATTGACAAAGAACAAGCAAACTATCCGCAGGATATAACACCGGTCGTGTCAGGTGCTCTAGATCAACGAACTGCAATTGCAGCCGCAACGGAAGAGAGGTGGGAAGATGATGCTACAGTGGCGTTGGCGTTAATCGAACCACAAAACCAACGGCAAGAAGTCAAACTGCAGCGTGACCGAGGATCTAGGCAAACCAATGCGTTCAGCTCGACCACCGATGTGCAGTGTGGAGCTGGGGCTAAGCAGGCAACAACAAAAAATGTAACAACTCAAATGTTTACTGCAATAAAATTGAAAGAATCAGCTAAAACAACAACAACAGCAACAATAAGCCCAAAGAGTTCAAGAAAAATTGTGCAATCCTCATTTGAGTGTGCAAAGTTTGTGATTCCAACAAAAGTGGCAACTTCTAAGGCACCTACAAACACCTACATACCTGCAAAAGCTACCACAACTACAACAACAGCAGTAACAACAACACCACCCACATCATCCACTTCATGGTCAACAGTTGCCGAGCAAATACTGGTCGCTGTTGTTGAGCAGCTCTGCTGTCGTTCTTCAAACTCTACTGCCAATCGAAGCACTTATATCATCCGCAACAGCAGCAACAACAACACTACCAAAAATAACAACAACAGCAACAGCAACAATAAAACTAATACATCCACTTTCGTTTGGTTGCTACCCACACTCTGCCTGTTGGCTGCATTTGGTTGCGGTCAAGCCGGCTTCGCTTGCCTGAGTAATCCTTGCGTTTTCGGGGTCTGCATCGATGGTTTGAATAGGTAAGTGGAGTAGAACAAACACTTGTACATACGAATACATCTACACACACACACAAATACACAGTAACTCACACAATTGCTTAGTGAAATTACACCGTCAATTTGTCTTCAGTTGCAGCTGAAAGCCCCTCCTTGCTCGTTTCGTAGAAGTAGTTGAAGAGTTTTTCAAGCCTTAAAGTGCAAACTAAAGTCAAATTGGAACTTCCCTTTTGACATGTGTCCTTTGTGAAAATAACAGTTGCGAGAAAACAAACACTCTCACGGTAAGCTTAAGGACCCTTGCGGTAAATAACGGTAAGGACGAAGAGGCGAAATTGAAAATCGAAATCAAGAAAAAAACCAAAGTCAAATTTAGGGGGAACTGAAACTTGCTTGCTCCCCCGTTGTCCTACACAATAATTTAATAGATTTGGAACTCTTCTTATTTTGGCTGCTCACCTCCGTCATTGTCGCAACCACTTTTGTAGACAAGAATTCCTACTCACCTCCGCAGGCCGAAAATGTTCCTTACTGCCTGCTCTAATTTCTATAGGAGAGTTCGTAGTTACTTGTCTTCTCTAAATATAGGTTAGTAGGTTCAGTAGCTGATTAGCTGTCTAACGGATTCTATCATCTTAGTCCGCGGCTCGCCTATAAAACTTCCACACTTATGATAAATGCCTTACCCGCCTAAAGGTTACTGCATTTGAAAAATAGTTTTCTGATTATTGTTTTCTGACCTGAGCTCGAACCCATGACCTCCCATATATTAGACTGCACTCTTTACAATTCGAAAATTTCTCTATATGATACGAATCTTCGATGAACGCTTTTATTTATGTTAAGGAAGAGGTGGAGAGTCCGCCCTGTAAAACGATTTTGGATAGACTCTGAACCCAGAGCAAAGAAGAGTTCTTGCTCTATTCGCTAAGTTCATGCGCTGGCAACAGAACTCGTAGTTTGAAGACCTCACGGACCTCGCGAAACGGAGATGCTACAACAAACTGCGATATACAAGCAAGATCCACCCCTAGAGCGAGAGTAATTTAAGATTTTGTGATTACGAGAAAAAATTATACGCTTTAATAGCAAATTCTACAGATTTCAGGTAGACAGTTAACTGGCTTCAAAGCATATTGGTCCCAAGTCCAATTGTGAGTGTTCAGAGCTTTGGGTTCCATTATTTTGTATACTATTTACCCATTTTGTTAGATCTATCTTGAAGCCGGAGCCTTTTAAGCACATCCTTAGATAGTCAGTTTTTCATTAAGCTCGATCATGGAACGCTCCCACCTATTTATGTGCTCAAACCATTTGATGGCCGTCGAAATAAGAGTTTCAGAGTCAACAGTTTCAGCTCGCACTAAGGGCTGACTGTCATTGGCAAAGTTGTATAGTCTCAATTCATAAGCACCCATCAAAAAGTGTCTGGTTATTAAGCGGTTCGGTTAAGAAGGAGTAAATGCTTTATTGTCCATCTGCTTTTAGCACTATGGTTGAAAACTGACTTTATCAGATACTTTTTAGAGGAGAGGTATACCAACCTCATGCCCAGAATCGCCCATTTGGCTAGCTAGCTTATCTGTCTCACAATTTTCTCGACCCTAACCGGCAGGAATGCGAAAAAGGTGAAGCTATCGGGGATACTGAAGATATACACATCTGTCTGACGGGTCCAAATGTGATGCAGGCACTGGAGCAGAGTTCTTCGGTAAAAGTCCCAGTAATGCAAGTAGCTTCAAACTAAATGACTACAACTACATTTGTCTTCCAAGCGGAGATTGTGGGTTTTGCTGAAGGCGCATATGTGCCACCGCTTTAAAAGTCAAGTGAGGCAATTTAGTGCATCTACACAAAGTCTAAGTATGTGGCAACAAGCAAAGGACCAGTAAACAGACTATCCGGGGTAACACATGACTATCGCTTCGGTGCCAGGTCACTTATGCTGACGCGAGGCTGTCATCATAGACTACTTTATGCCTCGCTGCGCATTCATTAAGCAGCAGAGAACTTAGTTATATTTTGTGATGAGTCATAACTCTGAGATACCATCTCCAAAGCTAGGTAAGGCAGTATCATCAAAATGTACTCCCTGCACAGAGGAGTACAAAATGTTGGAGTAATATCTTAGCGAGTGCCCTGCCAATTGAGACGTAAAATCTGCCACGGTACTCCGACTCCAAGCTCAAGGGAGATGGGTAGAAGAAGCTAAAAGTAAAAATGGTTTGGTTGATTGAGTAAGGTAGATAATACAAATCGGGTTGTATGATATAAAAATATTAAAATCTAAACCATTCTCGGTAGGTGTCAACTACCATTGCAGTCTTCTGTTCGAAAAATACTTTCTGAACAAAATCCCATACATCAAGGGAGAATATGAAAATCAAGCAGCTTTGTGTCAAAAATGCGTGGCCATCTTCCCACCTCCAAATCGACTCGAGCAAGAATATTACTGTTCACACCAGCATCTTTCAAGCAGAACTAACTCTGCAATGGTAAATTGATCTATTACAATATGGTTGGCTAATTGATTAACTAGGCTTATTGTGCTCCCCGGTTTCTCCCAATTAGGCATTTAGGAATAGTTCGCACGACTTTGTGATTCATTTTTCTAACTTTTCGTTAGCTGGCTGTGTCAGTTGGCACAGACTCGACTAATTTTAATCAAATTCAAGATAGATAGAGATTTTTAAAATTAAAAACTTCAGTTTCTTAGGGGGGAAGCGGATGAAAATGGAAGGCAGGTAAAGTTTTACATGTGTCTTTTGTGAAAATAATAGTTGCGAGAAAACAAACACTCTCACCTACTGATTCAATGAACCCAATAGTCAGTGCAATGTCATCAAAAAAAAATTTTTTAAATTTTTAGCACTTAAACACTTGGCCAAACACACATTGTACTTAGTTTTCCAAATAACATGCACCTCAGCTTAACAAAATATCCTTAAATCTGGGCACACACGCATACACAAATCTACATGCAACTCGTTCGCTAACTGCAGCTTCCAGCGGCTGCCAAAGATTTACACACAAAAATTTTCCTTAAAACAAAGTGGCTAACAACATCCTTTGAACACACTACAACACCACGCCCGCCACTCTATTTTCTCATCTCTTATCTTTAGTTTTTTTTTTTTTGTATTTACTTTTTTCTTTATCTTTATAATTTTTTTTTTGTTTTCGAACTCTTCTTTCGCTTATAAACATCATTACGTGTTTGCTTAACACTTTTGCTCACACAATGTTGTTAACAGCAGGTGTGTGTGTGTGTTTGAGTGCTTCAGTGCTTGAGTGTTTGTATGTTTCCATATGCACTCCGGCACTACTCAAATACCAATCAACCCGTTCGAGTGGCAATAAACCTCGTTTGCTGCCAGAGTAGTAGCAGCAGCAGCAGCAGCAGGAGCAGGAGCAGCATTAACGTTGATTACTTTAGCCCCGCGTGTGTCATTAAAGTGTCGAGAGCAGCAGAAAAGTGCTGCTTCAACTGCATTTCGAGCAGTTATTCGCTCCTCTAACCTCTAACCAGCCCTACTCGCAAGTGTAAGCAGAGCAATAACTTTGTCAGTCACCCAAAGCGGCAGCAGTTGTCGATCGATGGGGAGTGGGCCAACAAATTGGTAGTGTAAAGGGCATATGCGTTTGCAACACAATTGACTTTGAGTGGTCGAGTGTCCGCACACAGAGAAGCTATGCTATGCTGAGACATACTCGCATACACACTTAACAAATTTTCTAAACTTTTTTTTTCGCTCTTCTCATTGCTATCGGTTATCCTTATTGGTTTCACTGCGGTTTGTTTTAGTGCTACCACACATATGAGTTACATGCTCGCTATTCAGTAATCTCTCACACCTAGGCAGACATACTCTTTTCCTGCTTCGCTTGTTTGATTAGTTCGATTATTTTAAACCATCAGCGGTCAGTTGCAGCGCCATCAGGATTAACAGGAGTACATCAGCACTTTGCTGGTTTTGTGGTGCTAATGAAAGCACTTTTTTATTTTAACTTTCCTCTCATTCTCTGCTGCTGCTCTCTCTTTCGCTCCCTTACCAAGCGAAATTCGCTGACAGCGCAGTGCGTTGGTTGCTTTGCTGGTTTATGCTGCGGGTTTGTCAATTCCCTCAAGCGATTGGTGTTTAAAACAAATGAGTATGGACATACTCCGTTACTGAGTGAGCAAGCGGGTGAGCGATATAATCAGTGGTTAACTGATGATTATCTGATGCCAATGAATGTTCGAGCGATTAAATACTTCTCAATTTTATTATCCCTCATTTCGGGCAACTAAAATGAGAGCGAATTCAATTAATTTTTTTAACAGCTGGAAGAAGGTAAATATGTTCCGTGACAGCTTCAAATTAATAGCTCTCAATTTGTTACATTTTAAATGATTTGCTGACGGAAATCGATCGAAGTTTTTGCGGGATTTTTCAGTTTTTAATTTATTTCTTTTTACAATGATTGCACATTTTCTTTTAAATAATTATAATTCGGGAAATGAGGTAATCTAAAATGCGTGAAAATTATATTGCACTAATTAATTGAATTTAATTGATGGTTTTGAAAGCAAATGTGGTAGAAAGAGTGAATTGAAAAAAATCTGTGATTCGTTTGGGCTGGTGCTTTAGTCCAGGAAATTTTACGCCATAAGGTGACCACTGGAGCCACTCTCTTACCAAACTACTGTTGAGAGTCGGTATCAGGCACAACTTCGAAAATTTCAAATACACTGATATCACATTGTATATAAGAATAACCAGGATCATTCCTTATAGGATTATATCATACAAGCTCTGGAATTGTCTACTGTGAGACTTCTCAAATCTTTAAATAATTTGTTACTTTTCGTACAAACTTTTCTGAGAAAAAATCGCCCACTTTGCAAAAATAATGAAGAGCCTGAGAAAAAATCTCAGCAAATGGCAACGTAGTTGAAGCCCACACAATATATATGTATGCGTAAACCATCCAAAAAAAGTGGTATTGTGTTTAAAAATAGCAACAACGCTTTTCCCTTTATTAATTATATAGAAATGTAAGCCCACATGCAACTGTAGTACTCCCACTGTCATATAAGCTTACTTATACGCAGATTTTTTGCAGGAAACAAAAAGTAACTAAGTAAAAGCAAACTAAGAGCCACACACTCATATATATACTATGGAAAGAAACGATAACAATTACACTTACTCAGAAAGCGGCATGCATTGTGTGTTTTCTGTCTAACTGCAGTAGCTTTGCTTGTGCGCCAGTGCGTATGCGTTACCTAATCTCTATTTCCCTCCTCCTTTCCTTGTTTAGCTTCACCTGTTTCTTACATTGTTTCTTAACTACTTTTTCATTGAGCAAAAGCTGTTTGGTAACAAATTTCTTTCTCATCATATTTTCATCGTTACAATAGAACGTTCTGAGTTTTTTCCAATTTGTACTAAATATATTTCAAATCTATAAATATATTTCAAATCTATAAAATTTAAGTAAATTTTGTTGTAAATTTTTTATGTGCTTTTTTATTTTATTTTATTTTATTTTATTTTATTTTATTTTATTTTATTTTATTTTATTTTATTTTATTTTATTTTATTTTATTTTATTTTATTTAGCCGAGAAGTTTGTTGAAAATCACAGAAAACATTGAAAAGGTACCTATGTAGTCAATGAATTCAAGATATTTAAAATTTTCGTGATCTAAAGCTCTCTGAGACTAAAATTGAGCTTAAAAAAGTTTCCGAAATTGAAGTCAAAGTAGCCCCTAACTGAAAGGCACCCAAACCCCCGAATATTATAATAAACTAATAATAAGAAAACTGATTGAGTGAATCCCAGCTGCTGTTTCACTAATACCAAATTATATGTGAGGAGAAAATTTCCAGAAAAGTAATGAAAATGTACAAAAAACATAACAAAATAAAAATAAAATCTAAAGATTTCCTTATCCAATCCCAAGTTACCTAATAATGCTGCTGCTAATGTGTGCAACATATGTGGCAAGAGCCACAAAGTGGCGTGGCAAGTAGAGCATGAGGTACCTAATAGTTATACATAGAAAGTGTGAAAAGCAAAATGGAAAAAATGCAGCTGCTACTACTCATGGTGCCAAAAGTTGATTTGCGAATGTGTGGAAATTAAAAAAAGGCAAAAAGGAAAATACTCCTCTAACAAGTTAGCACACTTCTACTACTTTATTCTAATAAGGCTTATAAGCTAGCAATAACAAAGGTAATATGAAGAAACTCTTCGCATGCAAGTTTGACTTGTTGTTGTAACAACAATAGTGATGATGATATAGCAAAAGCTTTGATATGCTTTGAGTCCAAAAGAAAGCCAGCTGGCTGCTTAACAAACTGCTGATTTACTGCTTTTATCAACTGGCAACAAGCTTACTTGGCAACCGGCATTAGAAAAAAAATAGCACAAAGGACGAAAAAAATGAGAGCAAAGAGTTGAATTGCAAAAGAATTTCAAAAGAATGAAAGGGCCAATTCAATTGCGAGCCAATGCATGCAAAGCGATTAGGAAGTTGCCAGGGAAGAATCGAGTGTGCGTATAAAAATTTGGATGGCAAATAAGAGGCTGGGCAAAAGCAAAGTATGGAAGGAGAGAGGAAGGAATGGAACTAACTTGATTTATGTAATGTAATAATATAAGTGAACCATCTTAAATTAAATAAAGTGTAATATTTTAAAATGAAAAAAAAATTACTTTAATTTTTTATTATTATATTATGGTATAAAACAAATAAATATAGAAAATATGTAATAAAAAAAAATAAATGGAATAAAGAGTAAAAATAAATCATAAAAATTTAAAATTAAAAATAACTCGAAACAAAAAAATTAGCTAATTAAATATAGTAAAATAAAATTTAATGAAATAAAATCATAAGAAAAGAAAATCAAATAAAATAATTCAAAGCAAAAAATTTATATTAATCCCGTACAATAAGTAATGAAAGTTAAATAAAATAAAATAAAAAATGGCATAAAATAAAACAAGAAAATCAAACAAAGCAACTTAAGATAAGAAAATAAATACAATGAAAAGAAATAAATTGATATAAAATAAAATAATACAAAATAATAAAATTTATTAGAATAAATTATTTAATGAAATTTATTTTATATTTAAATAAATTGAAATTGAAACATTACATTTAAAAAATTAGTTGAATTAAAAAATACAACAAAATAAAAAAATTAAATTAAATTAAATGCGGTGAAAAATTGAAATAAAAAAATAACTGAAATAAAGTAAAACAAAATAAAATAAAATAAATTGGCATAAAAAAAGATAAATTTAAATAAAATAGAAAATATAGAATCAATGTTTTAAAATAAAACAGAAAAGTAAAATGAAATGAAAAAATTATATAAAAAAAACGAACTGAAATAAAATAACACAAAAAAATAATATAAATTTTCATAGCCAAAATGATAAATTTCAAAATATGTGGAAAAATAGAATTAAGTGAATTAAAAAATAAAATGAATTAAAATCGAATAAAATAAAACAAAATTAATTATGCGACTCTCCGAACAGTATTGTGGATAATTGGCGCATGGAAGTAATGAATGCCAGCATGATTTCCGTGTTGTTGCTCTCCAACATATTAATATTTTCTAATAACAAGCTCTCTAACTACAACTCCACCTACTGTATTCATTACTTTCTTATTTTCTTTTCATTTTTTTTTACGCCCACAACTTGTTTTATGCCATTCCCTGCAACTATTTGGCGGCATTATTTAACAAATACACAACACATAAGCTGCACCTTCTAATAAGAAGAAAGTAAATTGTATACAAAATGCATTTAAAACCACACCTGTGAACACAGAACGGCACACAAGCGTAAATTTAAAGCTGCTTCTAACAAAGCACAAGACCATCTCTGCAGTCAAATATCAAAGTGTTCCGAAAAACACTAGTTTTGCACTGTAATTTTCGTAAAGCAATTTAACTAGTCAATATGAGAAAATCAATGCATAAGTTGAAGAAGAGAAAAAAATGTTTTGCTACAGAAATTTTCTTCCCACAACACTGCTGACTGGTGATTGCTTTGGTGTAATGAAATTTGCGAAAATTTCTTTTTTGTTTAATTTTTTAACATTTTTCGAATACTGTAAAAATCATATTTTTCTTTCAGTGTACACCTAAAGTCGAGTAATATAGTGGTGCGGAAAATACTAGTTTAGTACTACAATTTCCCGGACAGGAATTGAACTAGTGTGTAATATAAAAAACTGACAACAAGCATAAAATTGGCATACACGAAAACTAGTTTGTTTTAAAGCTGAACTGGTCATATTTTCAATATTCTCGAAAGGGTATGAAATGGTTATATTTCTGTAGGGAAATTCATTATCTCCATACTAAAAATACAACACTACAGAGCTATAGTGAAGCCACCATATCATAGTTGCAACACATTGTACTTTGCTTTGCCTAAAAACACTGAAACTCACTTTAGTAATTTTTTTCTTCTTGCCACTATTACTAAACTATTTTTATTCCATACACATACATACGTGTATGTATATATAATACATATTTTTTACACTTGTTCCACTTCTCTCTCTCTTTCTCTCTCTCTCCATTCAGCAGCTCATATTCGTGCTACTGCATCGATGGCTATACGGGAATTCAGTGCCAAACAAATTGGGATGAATGCTGGTCGGGTCCATGCCAAAATGGTGGTACTTGTATAGATGGCGTCGCCTATTATAACTGTACGTGTCCGGATGGTTTTACTGGTAAGTGTGTGAAGTGCTTACATATATATAATATGTACACTTTGTATGTTTATAAATAGCGTAGTTGGAATAGTTTGTAAGCTCCATAGCATGAAGTGTGTTCGAGGAGAGCTTTTATGGGCCCTTACAGACAATACGTGTACATGTATATGGAGTGGGAATATATCTATTCATATGTGTGTTTATAAGAGTATGTGTATAAATTTTTTCATGCTATGAAACCTCTTTCTCTTAACAATTTTTTCATCCCACTACAACTACTTTACACAGTTTTGATACCAACCAACACTAAGCACCGGGTGACGGGTAAAATCGAATTGTTCTGCTAATTACGGTCGGTAGCGATTTAAATGCATTTAAATCGCATAAAGTGATAGATAATTGAAAACAAAATTTTATATATATCACTCTTTTACAATTTTGTTGACCTCACTTCAACGCTATAGATTCGAGCATCTAATTTTCGGTCATATTCAAGTGCATTCTTCCTTACTCATTATAGCTATTGTTGTACGTGTAACAACAGCAGACTATATAACAGGATTTTTGATTTTGTTTAACATTTATAACAACACAGCTGCACACTCGGATACAAACGGCAAACGAGAAACGACAAACCTAGAGACTCAACGGAAATTCTACTACTATTTTAGTACTATTTTTATGCTACTCACATTTATACTTTCGGTGGCCATTGTTTCGTGTACATACATACATCAGTACATAAGTATATGTTTATAGAAATATATATATGTATGTATAGTATTTACTTACCTTTTATGCATTCACATGCTATTCCAACTCCACCGACTAACTAACGGTTGTGTGCACGTGTAAAATAAATTTTATTGTATTAGGAACAAACGAGACCACAAAAACCGAAAAGAGAAACACAAAACAATACCTATAAAGAGAAATGAAAAAATTCACTCATTTTTATTTGTAAAAATAACGAAAATATATATATATAGGTAATATATATATAGATATAATAAAACTAGATATACTCTTCACCAACATATATGCATGTAAAAAATATATAAAAATAAAAGGAAATTGAGAAATCAGGATATTGAAACCCTCGCAACCACACATCTGTTTCTACATATGTTTCTTGTGCGGTTTTGAGGTTCTGCCCTGATTTTATGATCTTAACAAAATTAGTGAAAATATGGTTTTTGTAATTGGTACGATTGCTTCGGGTGGTGAGAGGTTAGAGATTATGGCTCGAAAAAATGTTTATTTTTAATTAAAGTGAATCCGCCTGTACTCTGCTCTTTTCATTTCCCAGTTTCGAGTCTTCGAGGAGCGCGAAAAATTATTGAAATTTTGCTTAAATATTTTTTAAGAATTTCTTTGAATAAAAATTTAAAAATCATAATAAGTAGAACCCCTAAGACACTTTGACACTTGTAATTATGATAGAAATTTTTCTCTTTCAGTTTTTTAATTGCCATATCATATGTCATATATCTCATACAGCTCAACGTTGGATCGTCGTCCATAAAGCTTTTGTAAAAACTGCGTGTCGAAAAAAGGTTGTCAGTTCTCTGCTTTCATATTCACTTCGTTCGTTTTCACTATCGTTCTGTGGGCTGGAAAAGTATTGTTTTATGTTTTTCAAATTCAGTGTACTCTATCATCAACCGCTGTATAGCCATCTTCTTGGCCACGCTCTGTTCATAAGTAAGTCACCAAAAATTTTTTCTAGAATCAGCTCTTCTACTTACTAGAACTCGGCCTTGTTTCTTTATATATATTTTTTTTGTTTGTTTGCAAATGGGTCTTGATTCCGTGTACAGCGTTCGGTATCTATCGCGTCCGGTTTTCTCTCTCCTGGACTTCGACATTTCCCATCGTACCAACTGTTTTTTTGGTATTTTCGAAAACCGTTAGTTTTATTTGTTTTAATTTGAAATGGCGTTCTACGGCAGATGTATACTGAGTTGTTAATCAGTGTGCTCAGAGATCAAGAGCGCAACCAGGGCAGAAATCCATCTGGTTGTATTTTATTTTTCAACTTTTCACATCTGAACTCTTTTTTGATTGTTGTTTTCACAAATAGGCGTGTACGCAAGTCCAAAATAATAGTTATATGTCTTTCGTCTATCACATCGTGATCGATCCAGTTACGCATCTTTATATCGGGAGCCAGGCCAGTCTGTTTGGATTGCTGCTGCAGTGGCCTAGTACTTAGACGGACATATTTCGGATGAAACCTCGAACCATTTGACGTAACAGCTGAATTTTTCTTGGACAGATTGGGTTTTATTAGAGTCATCTTTGGTTACTTCGTCCCTCTCTTACTGGAGTAATTATTGGACGATTTAAGCCTTTCGTCTTTAATGGGTTATGACTCTTTTCGTTCACAAATTTCTAGTTTTTTGCTTAATGTTACGTTTAGTTTAGTTCCGTAAGACGCATATTTATTGAGAGAGATATATAGAGGAGGAGAGAGGGCAAGAAAAGCAGCGCTATAAAAAGGGAGTACTCAGAAATAACTAACCATTCAATGCTTCACTAGAGGCTTGAGAGAAAACAACGCACCAATATTTTAAAATGAGTGAGTTCCGCATACCACTGTCAGTGACAAAGCTAGAGATGAAGAGAGAGAGAGAGAGAGAGATAGAGTGCGAGAGAGGGGAAGAGAGAAGGAGAGTTAGGGGGTGAGAGAGGGTGAAAAAAGAGAGCGGGGAGAGTGAGGGTTAGAGAGGGCGAGAGAGAGGGAGAGAGAGGGAGAAAGATCAAGAGAAGCAGCGATATAAAGAGAGAGTGTACTCATAAATAAATATATACTTTTAACTAACCGATCAAAGCTTCACAAGAGACTAGAGAGAATACAAAATGTTAAAAGTCTGCAAATGGAATGATTATGAGTGGAAGAGGGCTCTCAGAATGCACTTTTTATATTTATGTTAAATAAGAAACTTATGCCAAACTCAGTGAGCAAAAGAAAACAAGAAGAGCTGATCCTAAGAAAGTGCAAAGATCATGATTCAGGTCAATGTTTCTAAAGGCTTTAATATTGAAAAGAGCTTTAAACTTTGGTCCAATTGTGGTAGTGAAAAAATTACATTGCTGGAACGTCCAAAAAAAAGTTGAGAAAATGTAGGACTACACAGGTTTCAACCAACAACGAGATTTAAATTGCTCAGCTACAGAGAAACAAATTTAACAGCCAAAATCTACGATTGATTAAGCTATGATATTATCGAAATCTAATTGAGCCACTTCTTATGAGAGGTTGATATAGAATTTTTCATTACAAAAAGGGCGTCTGTTAAATCGGATGTGCTGGAATAACAATTGAAATCTTGATAGGTAATTCAAAATTTATTTTACTAGATTTAAAAAATTATTATTGTAGACTAAACATGGTCTAAACTCTATCGAAGAAAAGATGTATAGAAACGCCATCCGAAGTAGTCCAATCGCGCTTATAGAGCGATAGTGTGATACGAGTCCCTAAAGCCTCCTCAGATAACTTTTTACTTCACTTGGCCTTATATCTTTTAATTTTGGTAATTTATCAAATTTAAAAGCTTTTTCCAATTTAGTGCAAATTCAGCCACATGCCGCCCAAAAATAAATTTCCACTAACACCGGCAGTTAGAATTGCAAATATTCCAGTGCTCGAAAATGCCACTAAATTAAATATTAAAAAAATATATACGCGAGTATTTATAGTCGAAAAAGCATATGTGATTGTTTCTGGTGCATTACGTGCGTGAATTTGTGCGCTTAAAGAAAAAAGAGTAAAAAACGAACAACACAAAAGAAGAATTTGCAACTTGAGCTTGTGGTGCACGTAGGAACTTCCCTGCAGCCAAGTCAAGCGGCGCTAAAAAATCTTAGCTTGCAGACATGTAACCAAGAAAATATTTACTTATGCATGCGTGCTCACTGCAAACGGAGAGATTTGGTTGCATACCTGAATTATTTCTTATGTACATACATATATATATTTGTGTGTATATGTGTGTTGCGGTGTGTGTGTATGTGTGTGAGCTGTTTATTGTTTGTTATGTTTACATTTGTTTGCTCTATTTCGGGCTAAGTGCTTCTTCACACGTGCACCGAACAAAGTACTTCCGCAACAAATATTTAGCGATATAACATAAATACACACACACATACACACATTCATATATATATAGATATATATATATGCACACTCGCATCGACTTCATTCATAGAAAAGTTGTCGAAAGCAAAACGCACGCAGCGGCTAAGCGTGAGAGAGGAGCACGTAAAAGCTTAGTTTCCTGTGCTCCAGCAGTTGTGCGTCTATTTGGTGGCCATAAAAGCAAAAAGAAAAATAAAAACAAAAAAAAAAAAAATGAAGGAGAGAAAATCCTTAAAAATCTATTCAAATATTTTCAATTTCAACACCCACTAAGCTGAACTCGCTACTTTGCTGAACCACACGTACATACGTGTATTTGTAAGTATGTAAGTGCACATATGCATAAACAAGCATATGCTCCACTTTAAATGTAAAATAGTACTATAATGCACTTATAATACATTTTAGATATGCTATGCATATTCAAGTTGAGCCACACGTAACGGTAACCATATGCAAGAAATACATACATACATTTACATATATAGTACGCTGCTGCAGAAATATTACTTTACACCGATTTTTTGATGAGATTTTTTTTTTAGCAACAAGTAGGGCGGCTGTTAGATGAAGTTCAAAATGTAAAAAAAAATTGAAAAAAAAAACATATATACAAACATATGTAAGTATGTCAATATTAAGTATTTTCTTAAACGTCTCAACGACGTACATAAGGAGACTGAGCATGAGTTTCACTGTCATACTTTATGATTATTCCGCGGGCTGATCGAAGCCGAAGATGAACCTTAACCCACATGAAATATTTTTTTGACATCAATGTCTTCATTTCTTGTTGGCTTCAAACTAGTCTTCTCTGATTCTCATGATATTTTTGACATGCTCTTTTTGTAGGGGCTCGAGCTGTTTCAGTGATCTTTCGTGGTTTTCTTTAGTACACGAAATAGCAAATACTTGCAGAGAAGGTAAAGCGGTGTGTATATAGTGGCAAAAGAGAGACTATTTAGCATTAACCGATTAACGCCATTCATTCAGTGTCCCTCAAAACAAGTGAAAGGCGTGCTTGAAATCCCAGCAGCGCTTATTACAAACGAAAAGCTCAACCTGCCTCGAGATACTCGTATTATACTAATAGTCGACTTTATTCCTACTTTTCCATTTGCCAGACTTGATTCCGGCTTACCCAACGTATGTGCTGCAGGGAATGAGATCCCGCACGACACTAATCACCTCATTGTAGGCTCCCAAAGCCAACTCGTTTTAGTCTTCCTTTCCGTCTGTTACGGATCTATCGTCACAATCTGCTCGTAGATATATCGATGACTTATACTACTCTCGACTTCTGCTGTCTATTAAACGGGTTTTGCAAACCACTGCAACAACAATATTAGCATTTAGCCAATGTATTGTCTTAAGGAGCTCCTCCACCATTATTTGTGATTTTGCGTCTTGATGTTTTTCTAGCAAAATCGTGCAATCTATAGTTTGTTCCACGCTTTTTATGCATAGCTTTGGTTTCTATGTTAGAAATACACTCGGAGGGATTGGCATTTTCTACCGAGGGGCGAGCGCAATTAGAAATTTAGTTTCATTTTTTATATGAAAATTAATTTTCTATAACTTTTATGGATGCTAAGACGACACCAGACACCTGAGTCTTTCTGGTGGGGCTTTTGCAGCGCCAATACTCGAAATAAAATCTAAGCAATTTCAAACCCTTCTGGGTGCTCCTCGAACTTTGCCTAATACTTCAGTGTAGCCCCCACTCAACAAAAGTATCTTCTAAAGATGGTTTCGGGAAGCTACTTTCTAAACTGAAG